TGGAGGGGTGGTGCGAGTGCTGCAGTTACGCACCTCCCTTGGGTGCCATCTTGGGGGTGCTAACTTTGGGAGGTTCCCTCCTGTGTGGGAGGTGGATGGTTGTATGGTCAGGAGTGACTTCTGGGTCTTCCGTGCAATGTGTTTTTACTTTGTATGGTTCATTGACATTTAATAAATAACAGTTCACCTTTTAGGTATGCAGCCTACTTTCTTTTTCTTTTGGTTTTTCTCATATCTGTATCACCTTGTATATTACGGTAATACTTTATGGACAAGATATATTATACACCAAGCATATTTAACTGCTACCTGTTTGTACATAGTAACATAGTTACAGTGCTGTGAAAAGTATTTGCCCCCTTCCTGATATTTTTTGTTTTTACAAATTTGTCACAAATTTTAGCTGTAAACAGCAAGCACATATGGGAAAAATAAAAACGCCCAATTTAAGAGCTTATTTTCCCAAGCTGAGAGCTGCTCTCCAAGACTTAGACTGGGAGGAAATATTGGCATCAATGAACACAACACAGAAATGGGAGTTCTTTAAAAAGACTGTATGTGAACACACTGCAAAATATATTCCCATGGGCAACAAGTTTAAAAGGCTAAAAATCAAACCTATGTGGCTTATGGCCAAAGTTAAAGAAGCTATAGATAATAAGAAAAGAGCTTTTATTAGATATAAAAATGAAGGAACGCTATCATCGTTTAAACATTACAAAGAATATAACAGAATATGCAAAATGAAATAAAGGCGCAAAAATTGAAAACGAACGACAGATTGCAAAAGATAGCAGGACCAACCCCCAAAAATTCTTCAAATATATTAATAGTAAAAAGGTCCGGTCCGAGCATGTAGGCCCTTTACAAAATAATCTAGAGTAGGTGACTTGGGACAAAGAGAAGGCAAATTTATTAAATACCTTCTTCAGCTCTGTGTATACAAAGGAGCATGGGGGAGCTCTTCTCTATAATGGGCATGGTATTGACACAGCTCCAGATGATAAAGAATAAAGGTGAAAAAAGTAGTACCAGATGGCATACACCCATGGGTCCTTAAAGCATTGAGCTCTGTCATTTTAAAGCCATTGTTTCTAATTTTTAGGGACTCTTTAATGACTGGCATAGTACCACTGGATTGGCGTAAGGCCAATGTAGTGCAAATATTTCAAAAGGGGTCAAAATATTTACCAAGTAATTATAGACCTGTTAGTTTAGCTTCTATAGTTGGGAAGATACTGGAGAGTTTAATAAAAGACCACATAGATGAGTTCTTGCTGGAAAAAAATATTGAAAGCAACAGACAGCATGGATTCTTGAAAGACAAAAATTGTCAAACAAATCTGATTTCTTTTTATGAGGAGGTGAGCAAAACCTTGGACAGAGGGCTGGCTGTGGATGTGGTATACTCGGATTTTGCAAAAGCGTTTGACACAGTTCCCCACACGTGGCTAATGTGTAAGGTAAAGTCTACAGACTTGGAAAAATCTGTATGCAAATGGATAGAAAACTGTCTAAAAGAGTAGTGGGTAATGGGGCAGCACAGTGGCTAAATGGTTAGCACTTCTGCCTGGCAGTACTAGGGTCGTTGGTTCGAATCCCAGCCATGGCATCACCTGCCTGGAGTTTGCATGTTCTCCCTGTGCCTGTGTGGGTTTCCTCCAGGTACTCCGGTTTCCTCCCACACTCCAAAGACATGCTGGTAGGTTAAAGGCCCTAGGTGTATGTATGATTGTGAGTTAGGGACTTTAGATTACACCCCTTGAAGACTAGGGACTGATGTGAATGTACAATATATATATGTGTAAAGTGCTGCGTAAATTGACAGCGCTATATAAGTACCTGAAATAAATAAATAAATGATTCATACTCTGAATGGTCTAGGGTTGTCAGTGTGTACCCCAAGGTTCAGTGTTGGGACCCTTACTTTTTAATATATTTATAAACGATATAGGGTCTGGGATTGAAAATACCATTTCAGTCTTTGCAGATGACACCAAGCTGTGCAGTGGACTAATGTCCTAACAGAATGTCTCCAACTTACAAGCCGACCTCAATGCACTGTGTAATTGGGCAACTATGTGGCAAATGAGGTTTAATGTTGATAAATGTAAGGTGATGCACTTGGGGGCTAAGAATATGCATGCATCATAAATACTAGGGGGGAATACAACTGGGGGAATCTACGGTGGAGAAGGATCTGGGAGTTCTGGTAGCTCACTAGCTTAATAATGGCATGCAATGCCAAGCTGTGGTTTCTAAAGCGAGCAAAATCCTCTCTTATATTAAGAGAGGTATAGACTCCAGAGAGATATCATATTACCCCGGTACAAATCATTAGTAACACCTCATCTGGAATATGCAGTTCAAGTTTGGAGACCAATTCACAAAAAGAACATTGGGGAACCGGAGAAAGTACAGAGAAGGGCAACCAAACTGAGAAGAGGCATGGAGGATCTTAGCTATGAGGAAAGATTAGAGGAACTGAATTTATTCTCTCTTGAGAAGAGGAGATTAAGGGGGGATATGATCAACATGTATAATACATCAGTGGTTCATATAGTGAACTCAGGGTAGGTTATTCACCCTGAGGTCATCACAGAAGACAAGGGGGGCACTCTTTACATCTCGAGGAAAAGAAATTTAATCTCCAAACACAGAAAGGTTTCTTCACAGTAAGAACTGTCAAAATGTGGACTAGACTCTCTCAAGAGTTGGTTCTGGCCAGCTCAGTGGATTGCTTTAAAAAAAAGTCTGGATTGTTTCTTGGATACACAGAATATAACTGGATACTAACATTTATAGGGAAAGTTGATCCAGGGAATATCCGATTGCCTCTTGGGGGATCAGGAAGGAATTTTTTCCCCTGCAGGAGCAAATTGGATCATGCTTTGCTGAGTTTTTTTTGTCTTCCTTTGGATCAACTGTGGGTGTAGGATTATAACTTTTTTTTTTTTTTATGGGTGAACTGGATGGACTTTTGTCTTTTTTCAGTCAGACTAACTATGTAACCATGAATGCCACATATTTGACATTAGGCCTAGGCATGTTTTAGTGTACAACAGTAGACTGTGAATGGGCCTGGAGCATAACAGTGTAACTATCTTAAATTTTTTTTGTTAATGGTTGAACTGGATGACTTTTGTCTTTTTTCGGCCAGACTAATTATGTAACTATGTATAAATGATTCAGATCGTCAAACAAATGTTAATATCACACACAGTTAATCTGAGTAAATACAAAATTGCAGTTTTTAACTTATGATTTCATTTAGTAAGGGAAAAAATCTGTCCAAACCTGCCTGGCCCTATGTGAAAAAGCAATTGCTTCCTAAACCTAATAACTGATTGTACGACCCTTGGTGGCAACAACTGCAATTAAGCATTTGCGACAACTGGCAATGAGTCTTTCACATTGCTGTGGAGGAATTTTGGTCCACTCTTCTTTGCAGAATTGTTTTAATTCAGCCACATTGGAGGCTTTTCGAGAAATGAATGGTGTGTTTAAAGTGGAGTTCCAGCTGAAAAAAAAAAATAAAAACTGTAGCTGCTGACTTTTAAAATACAGACACTTACCTGTTCCTCTGTAAAGTGGTGTCCTTACCAACGCTGGTTTCATCGTCTGTCTTCTCTCCCTGGTGCCGGCATCTTCAGTGTGGGCACCCGGCTGTGGCAGCTTGGAAGGGGAAAAGCTTGGAAGTTGGGGGAAAAACACTTTTTCCATTCAGTTCAACCTGAGGGAGAGAGAGAGTGTGTGTGCGTGTGTGTCATGCACTACCAGTTTCCATATACTTGTATGTTGTGTTCTCTGAGAAACACATCTAATAGTAATATTAGCAGAAAGTGTAGATGAATTAAAAAAACTAACTGTGGATGAGAGTACTGCTCTAACAGTAAAGGACACATTTTAAGATTTCATCGCTTCTCATCCATATCAACAGATTTTTTTTTACCTATATCTTGTCCCTGCTACTTTCTGTACTCAATTATAGTGTATCACTGCTACACAAAAAATTGCTACCTCTGAATAAACTACCTAATAAAGACTCTTTTTTTTTTTTTTTTTTTTTTTTTTTTAGTGGAAACTAGCCATACTGAGTTGCTGCTCTATGTGAGCCAATGAATAATGGAAATGGAAAAGACATTATTACACATTACCTTTGTTTCACAATACCTTACCTACTAACCTGAAAAAAAAATATTATTATACAGGATTTATATGGCTGCAACAGTTTGCTCAGCGCTTTACAATATAAAGGGAGACAATACAGCAACAATACAGTTCAATTCAAAAGGGTTAGGAGGGCCCTGCTCCTTGGAGCTTACAATCATTACTGATTTCAAAAATCTTACTCTCATTGATCTCAGTGGGGTTCAGATTAGGGATTTGAGCTAGGGATACATTTGCTCTACCTGTGTTGAACCTTACCTGAGTATGTTTTGCTCATCCTTAGTTTTATGTTTAAATGTAAAAATTGTATTTGTCAGAGATTAATGGTCACTATCTGTGTGTAAGTTTTTAACACAGTATACATTGTCTAAACATGAGCTTTGGAGATGTTTGACAGATGATAGCTGTTGACATGGCAAAAAACTGTATGTGATGCCATGTGTGAAACTTTTTTTATGTACAGTATATGTTCAAATCAATTAAAAAAAATGTAAACAGAAAACTTGATTGTTGCCACACCTAGACACAGGCCTAGCATCCCAAATGCCTGTCCCTTTTAATAGGAACTTGACAGCAAGCTTCAGTTACCTGAAGGTGGACATGAGGGAATTACAGAAATACTGAAAACATACATTAATATATTCAGGATCTTTATGAATGGGGTAAATTAAAGTAGTACAGAACTAATAATGGACCAGCTAAGCAGACATCTAAATCAAAATTGTACAATTTATTTTTATGGTACTCATTTTTCCAGATCTCCATCTTGGTCTTTGTTATAATAGCTATAGCTAACATTTCTTCTGTTTTGTTTTTTTGTTTTTTTACAGTTGGTTGTGGGAATTATACAGGCTGCAGATCTTCCAGCTTTGGACATTGGTGGAACATCTGATCCTTATGTCAAAGTTTTTCTTCTCCCCGACAAAAAGAAGAAGTATGAAACAAAAGTACATCGTAAGACTCTCAACCCGACCTTTAATGAAACATTCACATTTAAGGTATTCTCTCAATCTGTCTCTCACTTTAGGACTATTATTCATAAAAGCATAGTCATAAACTGTTGAGTTGCTTAATGTTGTACATAGGGTGTGGATGTAGTTAAAGGGGCTGTAGTAAGGGCTGGATTTCTAACTAGGCCACATAGGCCTTGGCATAGGGCACCATGGCCACTTGGCACTAGTCTCAACGTGGAACTTATAAAGGGCTAAAGATTAACACACTGAGCATCTCACTGTCAAGAATCAGCTCTGTTACATAGTAGAAAAGGAAGTCAGATAACTGTTCCCCATACCCTAAAGTACATTGTAAGTGACTTCACTGTCACTCCAAAAGAGCAGCGAGTACGTGTAAATATTCTACTGCACAGTTTTTTTTTTTTAATTTGTGGCTGTATTAGTAAGTTATTATGTCTGCAGACATGTTTCTGTTTTTGTCAGTGTAGTGCATTATTTTGCATCTGCGGGCATGATTCTGACTGCATCAGTGCAGTACTAACTGTGTCTATAGATGTTTCTTGTTGTGTCAGTACACAATGAAACAAATTACAGCGGCTCACTGAAAGGCAAAAAATAATTAAGCAGCATAGACTATAAACTAGTAAAGAACACCAGAGTACGCTGCCCTATGGAAAGATACTTTACATTTTTTGCTGCTACCATCATATCTCATACATTGGCAGCAGTACTGACATGTATAGAAGCCTGGAGCTGGTTTCCATCTTCTCAGTTGACCATTGGGGAAGTGATTCTTACATGAACCCCATCACTTCCAAGTGTGCAGTGACATAACCTCCTGCTCTCCCCCCCACCAAGGTTTGCATTCCGGGCTTACCTGCCTCCTGCTGGCTGCCCAGGATGTCAGTGACAAACCACAGTAATGTGACACCATCCAGGGAAAGGGTAGGGAAAGTGGAGAGACCCCAGCAGACATGTGTTCATTGATCTCCCCTAAATAGTATGAACCTAGAAGCAACAAGCTCTGATCACTTCCATGTTCAAAACTGTCCTTTAGCTTTAAAGGTAGAACTAGACTTAGCTTTATCTATATCAGTTGAATTAGATGGACTTTTTTTCAATCTGACTAAGTATGTAAAGGAGTTCAGAAGTGACATAAGAAGTCTAACCCCTGATGTCTCTTAGTAGAAAAAAAAGTTTTAAGCATGAAAAAAAAATTAAAAACTCCAACAAAAAACGTAAAAGCCCCCCACATCAATGTACACACCCATATGTATGCAAGGAGGATTGTGCAAAACATATTAGGGGCCATCATTTACAGTTAACTGCAAATTGATTAGCTGTAAAGGTCTTTAGAGTGTTACCTCTGCACAATTTGGGGTACTGTAGTTTTTTGCAGCTGCAGTTTTGAGAATTGACATGTTTGGTATCTATTTACTCAACACAACCTTATCTTTTATATTTTACCAAAACACAAGCATGTTATATTGTGCTTGTGTACACTACAATTAATTTGAATGTATTGTTTTAATGCAAATAAGAGTTTAATAGACAGTTGAGCCAACATCGTGTGACATAAAAATTGCAACTGCAACGCATTCTACAGGTTTTCTGCTTTCAGAAAATATATTACATTATTTAAATAATATATTTTTATATTTTTTTAATAATATTTTGAGTTTTAGGTAATATTTAGGCCTAAAAACAGCAAAAAAAAAAAAATCACAGTGGTCGTGGTACCAAATATATATGAGTGTGTTTACCTGCAATTTATAAAATGACTTTATGTACATCACAAGGCTGGCACACTCTGCTGATCTTCCATGTCCAGGCTCAAGCTTTTAAGTCTTCATGCACACAAAGCCAAAAAAAAACTCTTGATGATTGTAAATGTGTGTACCACATTTACATGAGTTTACCTGCGTCAAGTGTTTGGGCATTAATTAATTTAGTTGACCAGAAAAAATAATTTATTCTGGCCATCAAAGTAAATTAACACTCAAGCTCTAAATGCACCAAGTGTTTATGCGTGTTTTTACAGCCAAAACAGCCTCTGCTCCAGGACGCACTGGCAGTCGTTATTTTTTACTGCCTCTAAACTCTTCTGCCTCCAAACTCCTCTAAAATTGTATGTGTGCGTGGAGACATAGACTAACATGGAGGATATTTTAGAGGCAGTAAAAAAACAAAACAACGTCAGAAGCCCCTAGTAGCAGCTGCAAAATGTCCTGTGTGCATGAGGCCTAAACAGAGGCAGACTGATAACTCATGGGGCCCCCGGGCAATAGGGGATCATGGGGCCCCTGTGTCCTTGCCCACACTCAAAGCACACCCAAAAAAGCCTATAAAAAAGATGCCAGGGGCATTTCATGGGGCCCCCTACTGACCCTGGGCCCTCGGGCAGTGCCTTTGCCCGAGTACTCAAATGGTCAGTCCCCCCATCTGTGGTCATCTGTGAATATACCATATCTATACGAAAAACTTTGAGGGAATTAGGCACAGGAGTTTTCATACATTTTTCCTATCCAACAATAGGCCTCTGTATGAGATTATGAGGAGAGAACGTTGTGTAGTACTGTGAAATACATACGTTTCTTCCCATAATACAAAAATTCCTGTCACTATCAAAACCAAATAACCAAAATACATTTTTTACAAGCTGTTCTGCAGATTTTAACAGCAATGCATTTGTGTTTATCAGGTTGATTAATTCCAGAAATTGTATACATTTTAAACATAATTTATTTTCATTGCATGCATAAATTATATCCTACGTGATGGCAAAAATATTACTATAAATGCCTATCCTGATTAGTTAAAAAATATAAATATTAAACAACCTTGTGAAAAAACATATAACATTTTAAAAAATGTAGAATAGGCCTTGACTTATAGGGAATTACAATGTTGAGATATTGGAAAGAGAACAAATATGGTTTGGGGGAGACAGGGTAGATAGATGGAGAATTCGAGTTGACAGAGTTTCGCCTTATTTACTAAGTGAAACTATTTTTTTAAATATAATATTGAATCAACCCTTATACAACGGCTTTAGGCTGTCCTATTTAATGTTAAATTTCGGTAACCCAAAAACATTTTTCTTAATTTTGTTTTGCTTATGCAAGAGAAAAAATTGTAATTGTAAAGAAGAACAAGAAACAAGAAAGTTTTGTCATATGAGTTGATACCACAATGCAGATTATCAAGAAGAAATCAGTCATAGGTATTTGACTAGGATACTTTTTAGTCACTTTTTATTGGGTTGTATTTTATCAATGTAAAGAGAAGATCCTGCACCTTCTGTGCCTCCTTTGTGTTTTCTAACACATCACAAATTAGATATTTTATATATCAATAACATTATACAAGGAGAACATACATTTACAGATATTTAGAAGTTAGTTCTGTAATTAAAAAAGCATTTATAACTACAATGGTTTTTCCTTTTATAAGTAATATTAGGAATGTGTGCAAGGACTGGTATGTGGACTAAAAATACAGTATGTATTCTATGTTTATACATACATGACTTAAATGTAACCTACGCCTTTTTTGTTTTGTCCTTTAAAGATCCTTTAGTCTGCACTGAGCACAAAAAATATATTTTAGTATATGGGCACAAATACTAGCTTTTGAAACTATTATATACACAAAGCAAATTACTAAAAATAAAATGTGTAGACCTTATTACAGATTTTCCAACTGTTCATGTGTTTCTTTCTTTTTTCCAGATCCCCTATGCAGAGCTGGGAGGGAAGACATTAGTGATGTCAGTATATGATTTTGACCGGTTTTCGAAACATGATGCCATTGGGGAAGTCCGTGTACACATGAACACTGTGGATCTGGCTCATGTAATTGAAGAGTGGCAGGACCTTCAATCAGCAGAAAAGGAAGAGGTAAGTCATATTACATCTACTTATTTAGGAACCAAGTGTAATACCCTTGGATTTGTAGTGAAAAAATGTATTCAAAATGAAACATTTCAGCATAAAATAATGTAAGTACTAAATACTAAAACATTTTAGTGGGGAGAACCTGCGAATAACAACTGTTGATGTTGTAATGAATAACTGTTCCTACTGTTGAAGTTTTGATGGGTTTGCATTTGCTGATCCACTGGTATTTTTCCATGTTTAAAAGTTTGTTTAATTAAAACTAAAAGAAAAAACATTGTGTAACCCTCTGTTTCTCCAACAATACTAGACAACCACACAATGCATACTTTGAAGTGGCCCCTTAATGAGAAATGCACAATGGTTTTGGATCAGTTTGTGTATCCTTCAGCATTAGGTGTGAACTTTAATGGGGAAGGACTAAAAAAAATGTGGACGTCTTTATAAAAAAAACGCTGCTTCTGAACAGCAATGGGTTCTTCTGTACCACAATGGAACCAGTGGAGGCCTGTGAGTGGAGGCACTCAATACAATCATAAAAAAAACAGTGTCACAAATTTCAGTTCTGCCCCACAGAATTTTTGCTTCAAATTGCACAGAAGCCTTCATTGTGGAAATGCTTTTTATACTCCCTCATTTATCATTTTTGTTTCTCCACAATACACTTCAATGACTCTATGCTTTCTGTACTTTTGGCTTGTATGTGTTTGTCCATTGTAATTTATATTTTTATTCTCAAGAACTAAAAAAAGAATCTGAAAATAAAAACCCAACTAACCCAAAAACAAAACCTATTGAAAAAAAAATAACCACACTGTTTCTTAAAATGTATATCAGGGCAAACAAATGCAATACATACATACAGTATTTCTCATTTTTTCTCCCTTTAAAGACCCTGTGAGTACAGAAGAATGCCTGTTGATCTGCCAGAAGTGGTGTCAGTCGTGCTCTTGTGTCTTTTGTTAAATTACTCACACCATTTCCCTTAGTTATTCTTAACAAAGAGAATAATCACTGTGTAGCCACCAAATAACAGCTGGAAGGCTAATTAGATTAGTTGAGCTCTGAATCTCTGATATGTTCAACAGATAATGTTTGCAAATATCAAACATATATTACAAAACACTTTCAGTGGTATCTTTCACAAACCAAAAAGAAGCAAATAATAAAAATTAATTATTGGATTTAATATACTTTTAACAAAAGTCTGAATTGCAAGGATGTTCTCACACCTCAGCCACACCAGGTCTCTTCTTCACTATAACAAAACTCTTAGTCATATTCACTCTTAGGCTACCGTGCGTTGTGGTGTTACGGATTGCTAAAAAATGGTCATGTGTGTTTTTTTTAGTCCATAGGGGTGCATTGGCAACCTATTCATAATGAATATATGTACAAATATACCAATGTAGCACTGCTCCCTTAGGAGTTTCTGGAGATTTGGGTCCCCCAATAGTCCTGCACAGCAAGGCAACATGCATTTCCTTCCAGCCATGCATTTCAAAGACAGTAAAGAGACCTTGAACTTGTTTTTTTTTGGATTTTATTAGGGGATTTGAACTTGGATGGGGATGAGGGATACATGGGATGCCCAAGGAACTGTTCAACTGAGGACAACTTCTTGAAACTATGTTCAAGTGCTCAGAAGGTTTTTTTCTTCTTGGGGAGCTATCCAGCCTCCCCTGGTGTAGGAATCCCTGGACAAAGGGATCTAGAGTCTGATACTTTAAAAGCACAGTCCAGCTGGGGCTAGTCAGGTTTCCCACCCAATGCCCTCTCCCCTATTCCCGTCCAGGGGGTGTAGAAGTACTCACTGTCCCTCTTCTGCAAGCTGCAGGTTGGTAGCTGCTTTCAGGTTTTCTGTTGGATTGACTCCGTCTTTAGCTCCACAGATGATACTTGCTCAAGAGGCCAGTGAGGTACAGCTTTCCTCCTTTCAGCAACTCTCCTGAAGGCAGGCACCTTCCCTGGTCCTCCTCCTAGACTCCATGCTCCAGCTCCTGCTCTGACATCTTCCATCTGAACTCTCCTGCTACTGAGCAGGCTCAGCTATGCTTAAAAGCTGTCCCAACCTCTTGCCAAGCCTGCTGCGTGGGGATTGGTTGAGATCCTTTAGGCATACAGACCAGCCACTCCTCTCCCTCCGCCCACTGAGTGCTAGAAACTTCTCCAAGTCTCTAGATCAGAGAGAGGTTTCAGAGAGCTGATCTGCAGAGTCTCTCAGCCCTGACCAAATTTGACTCTCTGACTATTGCACCAGGCTGCTATTCAGCCTCTGACTAAAAAAAATATTACATAGCTCCCCCCTAGCTTTCCTAGGAAGGTGCTACACAAATAAATATAAACTACAAATAGAAAGAAATTCATACTGTAAGTCTACTGGTCTTGAGTTTTGTCAATCTTGCATGGAGAAAAAAAATATAATAGTAGTTACACTCACAAGACTTCCATATAAATTAGGTTTACCGTGGTCACTAAGGTCAGAAACATTTCAAGTACACTTCAGGTATTGAAAGTCACACTCAGGCACACAAAGGATCCCCAGCTATAAAGTCCTCTACCAATTGTCCAGAAGCATTAAATGGAAAAAACTTTAATTGTTAGAAAAGGTGTTTATCACAGGGATACATAAAATGAATCATATAATTCAGCTGCTGGATGGTGCACAATGTCCACTTTTGGGTCCACAGGATGTATATTTATGTAGTATATTTATTGTTTGCTTTGTGCTTCTGACTGCCACACTTCTTGATGATTTTTGGAGGACACTTTTGCAGTCTGGGATCCCTTGTGTACCTGAGGGTCACTTTCAATACCTGAAGTGTGTCTGAAGTGCTTTTTCCCTTGGTTACCATGATAAGCCGAATTTATAATAAAGTCCTGTGGATGCAAATTGTTGTATTTTTTTTTCTCCAAGTGGTTAGGCTTACTGCACTAATGAGTGCCCAACAGATAAAGAGATTGGCCATAAAAAGTGCCACATCCCAAAACTGAGACCTACAAAGTAAGTACAGTAGCTAACATGATTTTTGAGGCACAGCTTGAAACATCTATTAAAATCATGATTGTATTTTACACAATGATTATAATACAAATTACTCAACAGAATACAACATTTGTGTGCCTAATATTTTATATATTTTTTTGCAATTATAATAAATGGGCTGCCTTAGCACAACACGTTATCACGCAGGGTAGGTGCAGTGCGGCAGCACTCCACAATGGAGTGTGATTCAGCTCTAAAGTGAAACTAAACGGCATTGGGTCAGTTTTATTTTAATACATTTTTAAATTGATAGGTTTTTAAACAGATATGTTATGTAATCTTTGGGTTAACAAAAATACAGTAAAGTAGCAATGATCTTCTTTCAGACAGAAATAGATATACTTTGCTGTCCTAGGGGAGCCCATCCATGATTCCAGATTGAGCGCAGTGCCACTGCAGCCACGCCATACTTGAATATGTGCACATTTACAATAAGAAAAGGATCCACACATGATCCTAACCAAGTTATCAGCATCTTTACTGAAATTAAAACATGTATCTCTCATCCATTGATGGAGACAAGAATTTAGTCATTCCTAGAAATGTATTTATTTATTTTAAGCACTTATATAGCACCATCAATTTACGCAGTGCTTTTTACATGTATATTGTACATTCACATCAGTCCCTAACCCTTAACCATTAGCCGCCCGGCCAATAGCCGTTTGGCGGCTTGAAAAGCGCTGCAGCTTTCCGGGTCCACGCCATTTGGCGTGCTCCCGCACATGCGCCGTTTGCGCTATTGCAGAGCGGCGCAGCAGCGGGATCTGTCACCGCCCGTGCACCTCGGACACGGCCGATGACAGATCCGAGTACCGGCTCCCGTTGCCGGTACCATGTGACCTGCCGCGACCAATCACAGCAGGTCACATGACAGCTGTATACAATGGATGGCTTCATTCATGATGCCATCCATTGTATACTAGTGCCTAGCTGTGAATGGTCACAGCTAATCACATGCACATGTCATGTGATTAGCTGTGACCAAATCACAGCTAAGCACAAAAAAAAAAAAAAAAAAAAAAAAGCTGAATGAATCGATTTCATTCAGCTAAATGCTTGCTTATAGCAAAGTAATTCTTTGCTATAAGCAAATTGTGTAAAAAAAAAAAAAAAAAAAAATACTGATCACTTCCCCAAAGTAGTACAATGTTACTATGGTAACATTGTACTATTTTGGTCATAGTAAAATATGAAAAAAAATCTTAAAAAAAATTTAAAAAAATGTAATAAAAAATTAAATATAATAAAAAAATTAAAAAAAATTAAAAAAAAATATAATTTTTTTTTTTTTTTCATACTGTCACCAGTCAGTGTCCCTGTTCACCGCCATGCCAGTTATATGATGACGCTGTACTGCACTGGTGACAGTATGTAAAAAAAAAAATAGTGAAAATAATATTTTTCATTTTTTTCATTTTCGGAAAAATTATGACAAAAAAATACAACTTCAAAAAACTCGCCATGCCTCTTATGAAGTACGTCCGACTGTCTACTCAGCAAAAAGGGGTCATTTGGGGATATCTGTACTATTCTGACATTCTTGGACCTCAAGAAATTAGATTGGCCGTCAGTACTTCAGGATTGATCAATATTCAGATCTATACCATAGTTTGTGAACTCTATAACTTTCCTACAAACTAAATAATACATCCTAATTTGGGTTATTTTCACCAAAGACATGTAGCAGAATACATCTCGGCCTAAATTTATGAAGAACAATTATTTATTTGTAAACTTTTATAACAGAAACAAAGAAAAATGTGACAATTTTTTTTTTTTTTTCAAAATTTTTGGTCTTTTTTTGTTAATTTAGCAAAAAATAAAAACCCCAGCGGTGATTAAATACCACCAAAAGAAAGCTCTAGTTGTGTGAAGAAAATGATAAAATTTTAGTTTGGGTACAATGTTGTATGACTGCGCAATTGTCATTCAAAGTGTGAGAGCGCTGAAACCTGAAAAATGGCCTGGGCAGGAAGGTGTAAAATTGCACGGTATTGAAACGGGTTAAGGGGTGTACAATGTAAGGTCCCTAACTCACATTCATGCATACACATACTAG